TAACATTCCTCTATGTATATGTAACGTTACACTTTGCATAGATGCCCCGGGCTCCCAATAATGAGTAGAACCTGATTGGTTGTACCCAAGATTACAGATACCTAAATCCAATCGATCGACAAGAGACAGTTTTATCATAACGCAGATATAATTACCAAATTTCGTCGTAAGTGGGATTTGAACCTTAGACCTGCCACTTGAAAGATGACAACCCAACCACTACACTAGAATCGCCATCCTCAATATCAGAATTTGTATAAACTTTATAATAATAAAAGTAATTTAATAAATAATCTTAATTGCAAGTATTGTTTTAACTATAACAAAAACCAAGTTAGCTATAAATAAAAATACAAAAAGCTCTAAAAGGTTTATATTAAAGATAAAAATAGTTTATAGATCATAGTTCTAAGATTGAAATAAAAATCTAGGTTTTAAATAATCTAATAAAGTTAATATAAGGGTTACAGATCAGAAAGTTTAAATAGAACATTTAAGCAAAAATATTAGATATAGCAACTGATAAAGAACCTTTGAGCAAACTTCTTAAATAGATAATATAAGAAAGTTATACATATACACTCTTCTGTAATAGTGTAATATAAATATATATCTATATAATTATATGTCTGACAAAAGTGTTAATAAAGTTAAAAAACTAAAAAGGTACATTAATATAAAAAATCATCATTAGTATATATATTAAAATAATTGGATAAGAGGTGTAGTAACTTAGTGAAGTGGTCAGGTTGTCAACCCCCAAGTGGCAGGTCCAAAGTTTAAATTCCAGTATCAACAGAAAATTTGAAAATCCTTCCTGTGTTATAGTTAACTGTCTCTTGCAATTGGTTAGAATAAGACATCTGTAATCTATGTCGCACCAGCATGACTAGCAGGTCACATAGCATTTGTATAATAGTTATATGACATTGTTCTTTAGGACAAGGTCTGTAGTTATATGAAGGAATGCAAATCTGTATCAGGCAGTGCAAACCTACAATAAGTCCTTGTGGCTATGTAAATCATAGGAACCAATAGAAGAAAGATGAAAGCCCACTTAGAAGGTCCAAGTAGAGAGGTAACCCAAGCTTTCGATAGTGCTACTGTAAAGACTAGACTTATAAAACAGAGCTAGAACTTGTGAAACCAGGCAAATGTGCTGGTTCTTGGGGAGAGACCAGATGAACCAACCAGACTGCCAGAATTTCCTGGTTCTAGAGGAAAAGAGTACATGTTGGCAAACATATAAACCAGAGGTGTATAGTTTCAATCTACCTTTTCAGGTTATCTGGAATAGCAGCTTGGTGGAACTTGAATTGAATACCAAAGTAGTAAGGATATGTTGTGAAGTAAGTACCAGGATTGGGGTAAACTCTACAAGGATATAGCAGTTTAATAGTATACCCTGACTGCCAATATTGGTCTTGGCCATAGCAATACTGGGTCAGCTATAAGAATAGAATACAGAAAATTCTGGAAGGTTTAGTATAAGGTCAAAAGTTCTAAAGAACTGCTTTAAAGACTTAGTAACCATATCATATTTTTATTGGTATTGGTCAGAGTTGTTGATAGACAGAAGTAGGTAAGTAAATACAGAAACAGAGTGGTTAAATAGGAAACCTACAAGTAGGTTCCAGGTATGACAACTAGTATAGAACCTTCAGGCAGACTACTTAAATTAGACAATGACTAAAGTTGTACGAGTGACTAGTTGTACACTTTCTCCATGATTGCCCCCTGTGGTTGTAAAGCAATCATTAGCCAAATATACTATCAATAAAATCCTGAGTCACAAGTACTCACCTTAATATTTAAAAAAAAAAAAAAAAATCTTCTACTTGATATTTATAAATTTAAAATTACTACAGCTTGCTAGTTTTTAGTAAATTTTATTATAATTTGACAATGATAACAGGACCTATCTTTCCAATTTAAAGGAAAATTACTTATATATGAGCATATCTTTACCTCAAATTACAATATTTGGAAAACTAAATTATTCTTTTACACAAACAAGGAAACCATTAACTTTATCATTATTATCTGTTTCTTCTTCTTCTTCTTTTTCTTTTTCTTCTCCTACTATACATTTTCAATCTCAGGAACAACTAACTAACAATCTTCAAAACATTAATATAGAAAATTTTCAAAATTTGTGAAGAGATATTATAAATCTATTGGAACAACCTGATATTGAAATACTATATATTGATGATAATACTCCTATGAACTCCTTTAATGACTATAATACAGAAGTTGATACCCAATTTACTTCAACTTCCTATATATATTCATTAACAATACAACATTCTAGATTGCCATCCTAAGATCAACCTATATTAAACCAAACATCAACTAATCAAATTACAAATATGTTTTCTGATAGTTCATTACAGCCTAACAATAAGGATCATATATCTCTTGATTTTGGAAAACTTTCTGCTAAAACAATACCTTAAAATCCTCAACTATAGCAACTTCTTTATCACTTTAATTAATTAGTAAAAGCTTTGGAAAAAGATCATTCAAAGGAATCTTTTTTTGTACAATTACTCATTTTTAAAGAAGGAGAACAGGATTCTTTGCATTAGTTAAATAAATTTGAAACCTCATGCTCTGTTAACAATATCCAGAAAGCTCAAATGTTAACTATTGTTCCTACTTATTTAAAAGGTTTAACATAATCTTGGTGGAGGAATATTGATACTCAAATTCAATTTTGGAACAATAATACAAGACCAGGTCAATCCTTTGTTTACCAATTTAAACACCAATTTTGTACATCATATCAAAAATCTCATTGGCTTGCTGAACTATGATCTTGAACCCAACAATTAGGTGAAACTGTGAAAAATTATTATGCTGAATTGGAACACCTATATCAAAAGGTTGATCCTAACAATCAATATCTTGTAGAGGATAAATTATGACAATTTATTGATGGATTAAGGAATGAAATCAGGAAACCAGTTGAAATTTCTTGTCCTAACACTTTAGCACAAGCCTTAATATGTGCTAAAGCTGCTGAAGCTGCTTTCTCTCAAGGAATGCCTTTGGGTTCATACTTTTTAAACAGAGGATATTTAAACCATTATTCTGGATCTTTATATAATTCTGTTAATCATATTTCTATGAACAATCAGCCAAATAATGAAGTTTCACAAGCTGCACAAGCTATTTTAAACTACTTAAAACAGCAATCTTCATCATAGTCATTTCTAACTTACTTTAACAACTCAAACACCCAGTTTGTATAAAAAATTTTAGATGATAGACTAAAGTTCTGTAATTCATCGCCACTGTGATGCAAACGAAATCTAAAAAATCTAAATCTTGGTGTATGTGAAATCAAAGCCATGCTAACAAATGACTGCATCGCCACTGGCGGTAAATCATGATTTTCTTTTTGTTATATAAACACATTTATAAACATACTATCTCCCGTACCCCTCAAAAGAAAAAATTGTTCCACGATCTTTTCTCTAAACACTATATTGGTTTTTTTTTAAATTAAAAACTAAAAGGCATGTACTCATTTCTCACAAAGATTTTAAATGTAATCGCTTACATTTGTTTCTTGGATACTAACCTTTATATCGGTCTTGGTCCTCAAAATGTACGTACTATTCTTGAATTTAGAATGTGGAAAGTGTTGGAATCCATATGAGAGTTACTATTAATTTCGTTCTTTGTCCAATAGAATAAATCCCCGTATTCTAATACACATTCTACCTATATTACCCCAGCCTCTTTCACTTTTGGCATTTGGGGCCTTATTCATCTTTTATTAGGAGGTTTTGGTAATTATTTAACTCGAGTATACAATATCCTCTCTAGAGTATATTTCGTAATATATAGTAATTAGTGTCATGTAATATACGTTGATTTTCTTATAGTCATCTACCAATTCTTCACCCCTACCGAGGAAATCGTTGTTGAAGGTATTAATTGGCATTTCATATCCATCTCATTCTGGAATACTGCATGGCTCGTTCTTTGGATCTATGACTTCCTTATTCTTTCATGCATTGCCATCCTTCTTGCCGTTTGCCAATTTAGTTACGTTTACTGGATTCTCAAACTTAAATATCCACCTCAAAAACTTGACGAACAACTTTGGATTCACATACCATTTTATCTTTATCATGCTTGGATTAATGTTATCTTTCTCTTAAGTGCTTTTGCAGCTTTCTCACCTGAAAAATTGACAGATCAAGAACCAAGCCTTTTTACTAAAGTTTTGGTCTTTTTAGGATTATTTGTCCTTGGAGTGATTGCCATTAGTTATGTTGAACAATTTGATTCTTTCGGTCCTATAATTATTGCTTGGTCATTGTACGGTATTGCTGCAGGTCAAGAAGATGAATTTATTCATTGGTCTGCTATTGTCATTGGCACCATTTCAGCACTGTACATCTTTAAACCTCTCATCATTAATTACATCATACGTCGACCAGATAATATTGATGCCGCTCCTCTGATTCCATAGTTTCAAAACATAGTTAACGCACTGACAACTGCAATTTTATGGTCACATGATGATACGATACGAATAGTCTACTAATCAGAAACTTCCAGATTTACCAACTTTCTTTTAATGCTATTAAAACCATATGTATCTTTATTTAAATATCAGGAAGTATTTGGTTACTATGCCATTTTTAATTGTATATGCCCGTAAAATCTTACAACTGATTGGATACGTAATGGGTTAAACGCAGTAAAAGCATGAATTTCTATGCTCAATCTTCACAATATGCATTACATATATATACAGTATATATATATTGTATGATATATACTAACGAGTATTCCTTATCGTTATCTTTTTACGTTATTTTTGTCCGTTATCCATTGAACATTAATGAAATGCGGCTTAGCTTCCTAATTGGCAAGTATACAGGTTATTTATCGATTGCCGAATTGATATTGGCTTTAAAGGTCGTAAAAAAAAAAATTATCGATAACGATAAGGCCACACAAATTCACACATATTTTAATTTCCTTAGCATGAAAATTTTAAACAGACTCTATCGGTCGGCTTATTCTTTAAAAAAAGGTCCATATATTAAAATTTTTTTATAAAAACCCATCAGGTTATTTTGAGGTTTCAAATTTTAAATCGCCCGAGTTATGAAAGTCGATTATAGTTAGAGTTGGGATCCGTGAATAATATTCTGTTACGTAAAATCCGTGAATAATCTAGAATTAATTAATAATATTTTGTGCAAATAATCTATATATGTGAATAATCTATGTGAATATTCATATAACTATCGGTGTGAATATTCTGTGCGAATGATCTCTGTGAATATTCACTATGTTCTTGGTATTGTGATACCGGAAATTGTGATACCGAATATCGTGATCGATCACGTGAAAAATGCACGAAGTGCAATAAGTGCAATAAGTGCAATAAATCTAATAAGTGTAATAAGTTACATTTAAGATCAGAAACGGTATTTCGGATCCGAAGGGGTAGATAAGGAATAAAGGGAGGAAATAACGGATATTAAATAAATACTTGTAAATAGTTTAATTAGTTTTAATGGATAAGTCGCATTTGTAAGCGACGAATTTTATATTATAAATAAAGGCCGAAATGGCCCTTAGGAGCAGTACACTTCGTTTGCTTTATTAAATAATAAATCCCAATACACTACATTGTACATAATAAACACTAACACTATTACCATTACAAACCCTGTGAACCTCTATAAACATCATCGTTTGTTCAAGTTCTGGTTCACATGACTTATCCTACTTGTATTCATTAACCCAAAGTAATCGAAAGCCTTAATCACCCATCAGCCAAATCTAACACCCTCTTTCGAAAAAGTTACTTATCATATGTTACATGAGATATTAAATTGTGGAACAACAGAGTCACAATCTTCTGAACCCAACAGTATATGAGAAACATAATAATGTGATATTTGAGTGAATTTTTTACAAATATCTGCAAATTCCTTGTGAATTCTCTATGAATATCTGCAAATTACTAAAATCTATGAATACTATTTAAATAGTCATAATGGATGTTCAAAGAATCTCAACTCAATTCCATTCCTATGTTGCACAATTTAGATCAGATTTGTCAGACTTTAAATCATTAATTAAACATGTTTATTGGTGAACTAAGCTTATTGGTGAACCAAACTTATCAATGAATGAGTTTACTAATTTTTCCCCACAGTTCCCATTGGTTGTATACAAATATCATTTCCCATTGGACAAAATGAATTACATCAGTGACCAGGATAAAAAAAAATTTTTATATTTTATTTACTTTTTTGCTACATAAAATAAACTCATATTTTTTTTTTTTTAGCTTAGTATTTTTTCAAATAATCTTGTCAAATAATTTTTTTGTCAATTTTGTTAAATACTAGTGTATGTTTAAAGTTGTTAATTTTGAATAAAAAATAAAAATTCAATTTTTGTATTTATTTACTGACAACTTCACTTAAAATGAATTATATGAATGTTATTTTTAATATTGATGTTAAATCCATTGACATGGATATTAGTAACAATGAACTTGACAATACATTCAAATGCATTCTAAATGCAACAAATGGAGTTGGTCAAGTATAAGAAGCTGTAGATAATAATCTAAAAGGAATATTGACAACAAAAAACAGTAAAACATATTATTTTTTAGTAAATAAATATAAGAAATAGATCAAGACTCTTGAAAAAGTGGGTCTCAGCTATTATAGACATAATCAAAATAGGCATGAAAAGAAAAAATCAGTGAATTAAAAAATAGTATTGTCATCATTATAGTAATTATAAAAGTATTGTTAAAAGAACTACAAATAAAAAACCATAATTAGTATAAAAAAAAAACCAAAAAATATGGTTGTAATAGCTATATTTTTTTTATTACACTTTCTGTAAATTTATCAACTGTTAGTTTTAAATATTATTACAAGCATCGCAACCATTATCCTGGTCAATTGTCAGACTTTTATACATTGCCTTTTTCAAAAAATATTTACCAATTTATTCAACAGTATATTCTTAAGGAGCTTAACATCTTTAGTATACAAAAACTTATGTGATTCCAGGTGATTGAGTTACAGGATTAGATTTTTATTTATTTATTTACACAAAATTGTTTAGGAGGACTTTAAAAACTACTAAAAACAGAAAGGTGGAATGATGCAGAGGCTCATAAACATCTTAAAGAAGCAGTTAATTAGTAGAAACAAATAAGTGTTAAAATAAGTAATTTTACTAATTATTTTGATCATTAGTAGAGGTCAAAATATGAATTGTGAATGATTTACTTGAGAGAAGTTTCCAGAAATACAATAGATACAAATAATTTAATTGAATTATTTCATCATAAATTAAAGTATACTTATATAAAAGGATAACTAGGCAAGGATTCAAATCAGTTGAATTTCAGTTTATGATTTTATTTTTTTATTTTAATTTTTTTTAAAAAATTTTTTTTTTTTTTTTTAGTTAAAGTCCCTATTTTGGGAGTTGCGATGTTTTTATTCAAATATATTAGGACATGGTATGCCACCAAGGGCTCACCTTACATTAGAGGTTACAACTAGCCACATGTGCACTTTTGGTACCTAATTTAAGTAGTCTGCTTATACATTACTATATAAGTTTTACACTAGTTGCCATACCTGCAAGCCAACTAGAGGTCTTGTCTATTTAAACCCTCTGCATATGCAGTCCTCCTTGTATTATAGGAACATCTCAAAGTGCTGCTCATCCAAGTTCCCGATGCTTATTAGTCTTCTTAGGACTACTTTATTCTTGATAGAAAACTTACTAGAGCCTTTATGTTCCACACATCTTGACCTAGTTTTATGCAATATGCTATAGTTACCTAACATTTGCAGTCACAGGGGTTATCTGTTTAACCGCTACATTACACTATTTTTATTCTTGTAAAGTTTATTAGAACCCCAATACCCATCTTTCTGACATCTTCTCCATCATTCTCTACTAGTCGCAACTCAGAACCATTAGTCTCATTTATCCAGACTACCAATTCAGATAGCCCAATATAGTATACTTCTGTATTCTTTTCCTCTGGCAAACCTGGCAGTCTGGTTGGTTATGTGCTCCTTTACACATATTTGTCATCCGATTTTAATCTTCGGTTTCTATGAAGGTGTTTCATAGGCTTCAACCAGTCCAATGGTAACGTCGAAAGTTCATGCTACCTTTTTACTTGAGAATTTCCAAGTAGGTTTCTATTACCTCGGTTCCTTAGTCTTTTATATCCAATAGTTTTATTATAGATTTGCACTGAAGTCTTATGCAACACCGATTAACATTCCTCTATGTACATATAACATTACACTTTACATAGATGCCTTGAGCTCCCAAAGCTGGGGGAATCTGGCCTGGTGTACCTGGGTAACAGCCACATGAGGCCAACCGATCGACAAGAAACAGTTACTGTAATGCAGATATAATTTTCAAATTTCATCATAGGTAGGATTTAAATCTTAGACCTGCCACTTGGAGGATAACAACCCAACCACTACACTAGGATTGCCATTCTCTACTATCTCTATCTCTTTCATTAGTTGCACCATCAGTATATATTATATATTTGCTCTTGTTTTTCATAATGTTTCTCTTTAGAATTTCTATTATTTCTTAACTAATATTTTCTTCCAATTTTTGTTGTTTGATAATTTCTATCTCTAGTTTTCTATTGTTGTAAAACTCTTTAGTTTGTATTTACTTATTTTTGATTTGTCTATTTCTGTCTTATCTATTATTTGGTTTACAGCTATCTTAATCTGATTACTGCTTTTACTTATTAATCTATTTGGAATTACATAAGTGTTTTTATTTAATCTTATCTACTATTGGCAACTGTTTTCTATCTGTTCTTCTTTGCTTTTACACCTTTCGCATTTGTTAATCTCAGTTGCTACTTCATTCTCTTTGCACTTCATCTGCCAATGTTCAATTAATACTTTTTCTTTTTCCTTTTAACCACCTTTTCAAGCTGTCTGTGGTTTCACATACCATATATTATCTATTTTTTTCTTTTTCTATCTTCTGATATATGCTCTCATTTGACTTGTATTGCTTGGGTGTTTTGTTCACCCATTTTAAAGTAGCTTTGTACTGCTCTGTTCTTTGGACTGCTAAGCACTTTTAACTCAATTGCTTTGAACCATTCTGTTTTCTTTCCTTTACTTGATTGGCCTTGATAACTTTTGAGTTGCTGCTATGTGATTAGTTTCTCTCTTCTTATATTGAGTAGTTGGTTTAAATATATTAAACCAGTTTCATTTACTCTGATTGCTCCTTTTTTTCACAATTGTGCATCTACTAGTTCTTGTATTTTAGCACTATACTCAAGCATTGATCATAGTTCACTTTCTGTTCTAATATTTATTTTTAATTTTCTTGCTTTGAGTATTAAAAGGCATGTTAAATTATTCTTTAGGTATGTTTCAGTTTCTGGTTACTCTTTTGTTTTTCATATATCTT